TGTCGGTAGGATGAATAAAACCCTAAAATCGTTGTCCGGTGGAAGAAACGATAATTGCTCATGCCACCATAATCGCGACAAGGGACAACTACTTCATCTTCAATCAGCGCTTGCAAAAGCTGAGGGTCCGTGACGTGAATCGTAAATGGTGACTGATGACTGTGTGTGCGTGTCTGCTCTGCTCTGCTGCCTCACACACACCACAGAGCGGGCTGGTTGGGCAGGTAGGCGACGAGAGAGCCCCTTCTTCATTCCGCCAGCCATGACATGACTGAAAAGAGAAACTGGTTTGAGAGGTGCGATGCGAAGCATTCCATCCAGGTCGTACCTAGTTTGTACATGTTATTAGGGCGCGTGTGATCTTTGGATTTTTGTCTAAGTTCGAACTCAAACCGCTTTGCACCGTGGCGAACAAACTCTCAATTGTATCCTACCGTGTAGAACTCTCTAAAAGTTCGAACTTTGGGAAGTTCGAAAGAAGATCACACGCGCCCTTATGGCAGGCGTCTATGTTCAGCGTAACGTCAACTCATGTGTCAATCAGCAACATTATGTTGACACTATATTTGACACTCGCGGGAAGAGATTGGGTCCAGAGGTGCGATGTGAGGTCGATCTTTTGTTGAAAACACGTACTTTGGCGAACAAAAGCGCCGAATTTCGCTTCCAGCGCTGCCCGCGTCTCGTAAATGTGCCCAAAACCCAAGCAGGACCAGTTCCCCAAACCGGGGCGATGTTCGGCAGCAAAATGGCAGCCCTTGGTGGCTGGCCGCCGCCAGCAGCCGTATAGCCAAACCGCAAACCGCGACAACAATGACCAATGTGCTTGTAGCGAGTTCACCAATCAGCTTCGTTGGTGAGAGTTCATCTGGAACTTTGGTATGCTCCCTCCCTCCCAGGTGTGAGGTTTGGCAGTTTCTCGAATGTCCAACACGTTGTCGCATGGCCCAGGGCGAGGCGCAGAGGTTCGTGAAAGCCCAGGTAGAGAACTGGACCGTACCTTTCCGCCCTCGTAATTGAGTTTCGCAACTTAGTGCAAATAGGGAAATGTATGTAGCATCTGTTGTGACCATCTGTATGATAAATGCTAAGTAAATCAACTTGTATGCAAATACTTCTCGCCTCGCTCGTGGACAGGCGATAGAAAATATGCGAGGTACAGACAGAGTAAGGCATTCTAAGAGCCGTCCTGAAACGGCTTAGTCCCGAAGGGTTACAGTTCTCGTCAATAGTCGATGTCTTGGTTTTTGTCAGAGACACTGACGGGGAGAGACGAAATATATTACCCTACTTATGTCCGGACTTCCGGCCTGTCCAGACGAAGCAGTTTCGGGATGCCTAATAAAACCCATTAGAAAGAAGTCAGAGCCCACTGGTACTTGGATTTAGAGTACATATCAGAACAGCTATCAGTCCTACTGTCGTGAGGCAGTGTACAATACAAGGATCCCCTAAGCACAAGCGATATCTTCGGAACATATTATTAGCCTTCTCGCACAGCTTTAAGCCACAGCGGGAAGCTCGCCAGTGTTGAACGCAGAGAACCGGCAGTCAGTCGCTGTGACAGAGGACGTCTCGTAGTCAGAAACCTTTCCGTCAAGGAAGCCCTGGCCCTCAGCTCCGTCAGCGGAAACGGGGTGGTGGAGAACGGCCGCCAGACGGGAGAAGTCCGTCGTACGCTTCTCCCTGCCTGTGCGGTACGTCTGGCCCATGACACCGTGCACGTCAGCAGTGGGTGCCACGTCAGTGAACATAACATTGATGTGCGTCTCGGCGTCATCGGGGGTCTGGAGGAGCGGGTGAGCGACGCGGAGCCTCAGATCCAGCTCCATCTGATCGCCGATCTTGACCGTGTACGCGTCCACATCGTACGGGCCAACCTTCTCGATCTTGTTGAAGGTGAGGGTCAGATCTGCGATCTTCTTGCTCTCGCCGACCTTCATTCTCGGCAGAGCCTTGCTGTCAGCGACGATGGACTTCACGAAACCGTCGCCACGGGCCTGCTCCTTTCCGTCGCGAGCGGTCATGACGAAGCTGTGCGACGAACCGTCGCGCGACCGCCACATGATGGCGAGCTGGCGAATCCACGTGCGAACCGCCTTGCCATTCACGATAAGCGCGGCGCTCTCGGTGCGGTCATCGTAATACCCGCGCATGGCCATGTTGATGTGCATCAGACGGTCCGTGTACAGGCAGAAAGACTTCTCGGGCAGCCCGTTGAACTCGAAGCGCGTTCCGTGCGCGCCGAGGAAATGCGGGTCGTCCTTGGTGGTCGGGCAGGCCTTGCCGATGCGGATCTTCTTTCCGCCGCCCTTCACGGGCTCGATGCCGTCGATCGCGGGGAGCAGGATGCACTTGCCGCAAGGCTTTCCAGAGCAGGTGTCCGAGCTGCCTCCGGAGGATCTGGAATCGCAACGGAGACAAGGAAGGGGTAGAATCAACGCACGAAACGCAAGGGGGAAACGAGGAAACGAGAGAAGGCTGAGTAGATGATCAACAAAATGCTCAAGAGGCAACGGTACGTCGTGAATGCAAAGAGGGAAAAGCGAAGTCGCAAGGGGGGGGGGGGGGGGTTAAGGGTGGGAATCACAAGTGTAATGGAAATGCGAAAGGGGGGTTGGGGAGGAGGAAAAGAGGATAGCGTGGTATCGTAAAGGGAAAGGGGAGAACAATGCTTCCAATGGGATTGGCAAGCGACAAGTATCGCGGGAGAGAAGGATAGGGAAAGGGACGTACGGGATGTGGACCCAGAAGCGGCAGTTGAAGGAGTTGGTGCCGGTGGTGTTGGAGCATTTGTTGCAGCACGCCTTGGCGTGGATGCTGCCCGCCGCGCAGTACGGCGTCGACGACGACGGCGGGGAGTTCACGCACGCGCCGTACTCAGGGATCTGCGCGGGGGAAGGGGGGATAATGCGGAAGAAGGCGGAAGAAAATGAGCGCGTGACATGAGCGGGAGGAAGTCGGGTCCAGAGGGACAAGGGGCGAAATGCCTGACTGGAGGGACGAGAGGAGGGGCGAGGCGAATCTGCCGAGAGGCGGCGGGGATTGAGAGAAGACTGGTAGGGGAAATGGTGCTAACCGTCCAGTAGTCGAACGAGCCGGAGGTGTAGTCGCAGCCGCCCTTGGTGCATAGGCCCTTGAGATCTTGCGGGTAGGGCTTGTCAGCTGGCTTTGCGGCGTGCGCGGCGGCCGCCATTGCCAGAACGGCGATAAGAATCGCGAGCCGGGATGCCATGGCGACGCTGCTTCTGTGCGACCCGCACGGGTTGGAAGTCTATTACTGGTACTGTACTGTACAACAAGCTGTTGGCGAAACTCTATGAAACTAATAAGAGGAACTGGAGATTGGTGACAGTTTCAACACTCCGCGCCCTTTTGATGTGGTGAGAGGAGCAAGGGCAAGGAGCACACACCGCAGGTTGGAGGCTGCTCCTGACTATTCCCATGCGACGACAAAGCGATGGGACCACAGACAACACAAGGACAGAAACAACACTTCTCGGGCAGCGCGTAGCGAAAATGAGGGTGCTTTCCGGATTTCGGTGGAGTCGCCTGGGAGACGCTCAGTTTAGTCAAAATGAGGCATCTTTCTGCGCTGAATCGGAGAGGAAGTGCAAGGACGGTGACTGTAAATCTTAACGAATCTGACCGCATTCTGAGAAGAGTTTTTGTGCGGCTACAAAACAGCAATCACCCTGGTTCCAGCACTTTCCATGTGTGGTGAAGGTCTCCTCCTGAACATTGTCCTGGCTGGCGGAATCAAACGGCTATAGCAATCCAGCTGCACCACACGAAGCCCCAACAGAAGTGATACACCTGAATGGTCATCTGCGCCTTGTCAGGAACAGAGCTCGATAGCTTCTCGGAGCAGGTGAGAAGCTGTAAAAACACCTGATAGTGCACAACCGACAACCACTTGCGCGTCGTCACTAACACTGACTTCGCTACCGAAATCGGGTGTCGTTGGAACTGAATAATCCTTTAGTGTTTTCCTATACCAAGTTTTCCTGCTTTGTCTGCTTCAATCCGAAAGGTCTCGTCGGATCTTGAGGGCTGAAGGAGTATTTGAATAATGATCTGGATTCAACATCTTCGTGTTGTAGCACACATAAAATCCTAAAAGGAACCCGCTATAACTCTCCCCCCCCCTCCCCTCACTACATTCCCTAATCCCATAAAAGCACGCATGAATAGGAAGCTGAAGCCGACAAGAGAGGAGAGGTCTACATCTACTCCAAACAGCAGTCCACCCTAAGCTCGGGGCAGCGGCAGTCTATTCCATGCTTGGGTAGCAGCGGTCTATCCCATGCCGAATTCCCCCGGAACCGAAGTCAGGAAAAGCCTGCAGCAGCAGCCAGCAGCAGTGGTGGTGGTACGGGCGGCCTCGGGGGGGAAAGGACTCAGAGATCAGTCATGAATCGGCTCCTCAAGCATTGTACCAGCAGCATGTGCAAGGCTCGGTGCAATGCCAAGCGCAGCAGCAGCAGTGGCAGCAGCAGCAGCAGCATATTTGCAACAAATGGACAAAGGCAGAACCGCTTTCCACCAACCCTTTCTGATCCCGCTCCCGCCCACTTCTAGCCCCCTCTCTCCCCCTCAACCCCTATCATTTCCCTCATGTAATTCCCATCGCTTCTTCCCATCGCTGCATCTCCATCTCGGGGGAAATAATCCAGCCACTGAAACCCTCAACCCTGGGGTCCAGACAACGCACCCAAACGTCTAACCAACCCAGCAATATGGACTCCTCTCCAGCACCTGTACTCTAAGTTGCCTGAAGAAAGGTCTTCGCACCACCATTATCCAGCAACACTTGAGAGCCTTCCCCATTCTACCCGCTCCCATTATTCTTGTAATAATTACCTAACTGATGGGCATCACTGATGGGTACACTGTCTTTTCCCACCACCCATCCATGCATCTACTTCAACCCACCAATGTAACAGCTGCCACCCACACATGAAGCAGCTGCCATTCACCCACGTTAAAGCTGCTGCACATCACACAGAGCAGCTAGCCCTGCCTTTCGCCTTCCCCCCACCCAGCACCTTCAACTTGCCCCTCCACAACCCCTCCCCTTCATCCTCCCCCCCTTGGGCCCCACTCCTACCTGCCTTCTCCCTTCCTCCATCGTTCCTCTCTTCTTTCCTGTCATCTTCCCTCCCGTCCATCCTCCCCCCTCCCTTCCCAATCTGCCATGCATCTCCCTCGCTCCCACGCTCATTGCCCCCATCACCTTCGCTCCCCCCGTCTCCCTTCCCGCCCCATGGGTTCGATCCAACGGTTGCGCTTGTCCGAAGCCCCACTTTTTCCAGCCGGGTTGACAGAGAATTTCTTCGTAACCTGCCCCGAATCTGCCCAGCCGTTTCATCCCCTCTCCCCCCTCCGGCTTCGCTCCTAGACCCTTGAAGTGACAACCTCCTTCCTCGCCTCCCCGCCCCTTCCTCTTCCTCCTCCATCCCCTCACTCCCCCCTCCCTCTCCCCCTCCTTTGCCCCAGCCTTTCCCGAACAGCTTAAGCCACATCTTTCCTAGTGATCCTTCCCCTCCCTTCTGATTGCTGCCGCTACTGCTGGTACTGGTCGAACTGGCAATGCCAGCAGCAACAGGAGTGCTAGCACCACGGGCTGCAGGAGAAGCAGAAGCAGCAGCGGCGGCAGCAACTGCAGCAGCGGCAGCAGCAGTGGGTGTAGTAGCAGAGAACCCGCTAGCAGTGCTACTGGCAGGGCTCGCGTCACCTCCCCCCCAACCGCTCTGCACCGGCCAGAACCCTCCCGATTTCACAGTGTTTAGCGGGCTCTTGGGCCCAAACGCTTTAAAAACCTTGGAAGTGCGTCTAGGTTTAGAGGACGGGGGCACGGGCGGGACTTGGGAGCGGGAGGGGGAAGTCGTAGAGATGGGAGAGGCGGAGGGAGAGTACTGATAATCTGGGAAAGCGGGGCGGCTGGTACGGTCAGGAGCAGGCGAGGTGGGGGCGAAGGCAGTAGCAGGAGAGTCAGTCTGCCCTGCTGCTGCTCCTACTGTTGCTCTTGCAGGTGATACTCCTCCTCCTGCTGTTCCTCCCTTTGCTCCCATTCCTCCTGATGCTGCTCGTCCATACTGAGGGGATCGCAGCATTAACTCCGAACGACCATCTATGCTGGATGCGCAGGAGCGAGCAGGCGAGGTCATATGCATTGAACCACCTGGTGAGGCCAGATACGTTGAATCTGCCACACCAGCACCAACCGCACCACCAGCTGCTGCTGCTTCCGCACCTCCCCCCAAACCTCCTGCCGCAGCAAGCCGGTCGCAGTCCGTGTAGGTTCGGCGGAGGCCAGGAACGGCAACAGAACTCGCAGGAGACCGAGGCGACGCAGACGGCTCGGACACAATACTCGTAGATGCACCAAACCGGTCGGTTACGCGGTAACCATCGCTCCCAGCCATTGGAACACCACTGTCACTCCCAGGCCCGGGTCTCCAGTCAGAGCTAGAGCTTTGTGGCGGTAAAGCCCATTTCTGAGGCGCACCAAATCCTGCTATGTCCCCACCAGTGGCCACACCAGCGGCTACACCAGTGGCCACACCAGTGGCAACACCAGTGGCTATGTCCCCAGCGCTACCAGCACCAAGGAACCTGCGGCTGCTGCTGGCACTGCCGCTTCTGCCGCTGTCGCCGCGCGGGTAACCAGGAGAGTAACCACCAGCACTAAGGTTACCACCAGCGGTCCTGCCCGTAGCACCAAGAGCAGCACTGGTGCTGTTGCTGCTGTTGTGCTCTGCAGCTGCACCTGCGCCTGTTCCCTCAAGCTCCTCTATCTCTTGCGCTAGGCTGCTTCGTCTGGTACCCGCAGGCACCAAATCCGGGAAAGCAGAGCTTATAACGGGGACAGACTGTACTGATCCGCTTTCCTTCTCCAAATCCGCGAGCTCTCGAGCCAGAGGGCTCGACCGTGGGGGGAGGTTCGAGTCCCGCAAAGGGCTGCTCCTGTGTGGCCCATCCACTGGGGTGTGACTATAAGAGTTGCTTCTTGAAGCGTGACTATACGAGCCCTCCATATCTGGAAAGGCATGTGAGGAAATCGCAGCAGTGGCAGCGGAAGGAGAAGCAGAAGAGCCCAATCTGGACAGCCGAGACGGCGTGATGGGACCAGAAGGAGACATGCCAGGAGACATGCCAGGAGAAGCGCCTGACACCGCACCCTTCCTCCCTTGACTGCTCATCGTCCTTCTCCCTTGCACTGCTTCCCAACCCTCTCCACCCCCTCCTCCGCCACTTCCCCGCTCGCCCTCCTCCCCTTCATCCCCCTCATCCAAGCCACTGGATCGCACGTTCCAGCTGTGGCTGTGCACAAACGCGCGGTCCCCTCTCTGCGCCGCAGCTACTGCTGCCGAAACACTCCGCCGCTCAAAACCCACCCCGGGGCCCCCTCCCTCCTCTCCTCCCCCTCCCTGCTCTTCCCTCACCGTCCCCTTCCCCCCATCCTCTTCCTCCCCTTCTTGCATGGCTGCTGCGAGCTGGGCGAGCGCTTGGGGCGGTAACGTTACACTCATGTTCCACCCGCTGCCGCTGCTGCCCGCGATGCCAGGTGTCGGCCTCTCATTGATCGAGAGCCGCTTTCCCGAGCCTGAGCCGCGAAGGGCGGCAGGGGAAGCGAAGGAGGGCGCGATGGGGGGGGTGGGGGAGCCTCGGGGGGGGTATCCCGGAGAGGGGCGGGCAGGTGCAACTGGGGACGGTTCGACTGCGGTAAGCCGCGATTGCAGCTCTGGTCCTCCTCCTCCTCCTCCTCCTCCTCCTCCTCCTCCTCCTCCTCCTCCTCCTCCTCCTCCTCCTCCTCCTCCTCCTCCTCCTCCTCCTCCTCCTCCTCCTCCTCCTCCTTCTCCTTCTCCTCCTCCTCCTCCTCCACTGCCGTCCCTGCTGCTATCAACGGCATTTGCCTTGGCCGACCGGCTGCTTCTATCTGCTGGTCTCACGGGTTGACCCAGGTCAAGGCACGGGCCTACCGGCCGGATGGGTTGACCGAGGTCAAAGCAGGGGTCAACGGCGCACCCTGACACATCCGCCCCCACTCCCACCAGCACCTCCCCCACCTCCTGCAGGAGCCTCTGCCTCGGCGTGAGACGACTGCTCGCACTCCCCCTCCCCCCGCTCCCCTCGCCACTGTTCCGCCCGGTACCTCCCCCTTTCCGCCTGCCTCTTCCCCGCCCGATTCCCGGATCCGACGCGGGGAGACGCTGCCACGTGGCACCCTTCAGCGCTTGCCCCGTCACCAGGGTGGCACCATCAATCCACCCTGAGTCATCATCATCGTTATCCCTGCCGTCCTTGCCGTCCCTGCTATTCCTACCCACAGCATCAGTCCCCCCTGCTGCTTGCTGCTGCTCTCTCGTCTGCTGATCCTGGCCGTTCGATCTGCTGCGTCTTGGCCCTGCACCTGTTCCTGTACCGGCCGCTGGCCCCCCTTCCGCTTCCCCGTTTGCGGAACTCCGCCTATAGTCACAGTCGTCAGGATCACCCCCACCATCCTCCCCCCTGAGCTCTGCCCTGTCCTCCCCACCACCACCACCACCATCACCTTCCCTATAATCACCATCATCCTCGTAATCATCCCACCCCCCTTCCTCACCCTCCTCCCCCTCCTCGCTCTCCTCCCCATCCTGACTCTCACCTGCGGGAAACGAGTCCTCCGACTTGGTCCGATACGCGAATGGCGCGTCGTGGTAGATCGTCAGCGGCGGCGGCTGCGCGCTTTCCTCGATCTTTCCTCTGTGCGAGCGGAAGGTCGACGCGAACGACTTGCGGATGTTGTCGCGCGTAGCGTCGGGCAGCGGCGCGCCCGAGTGCAGGTCGCACTTGCGCGCGGAGTAGAGGAACGCCGTGCGCACGCGCCCCAGCAGCCCGCGCGCCTGGTCCTTGGTGAGCGGATCGTAGCCCAGACAGAAGAAGACGATTCCGTCCTTTGCCATCAGAAACAGCACGAACAGCCGCCCGTGGCCCTGGGAACGGGGGGTGGGGAGGAGCCGGGATGAGAAGGGCGGGAGGGGGGGAGGGAGGAAATAGGGTGGAGGGCGGGAGGGAAGAGGGAAGGAGAAGAGGAAAAGAGCGGAGGACCCGGGAGAGAAGTTGGAGAAGGTTATCAATGTCCGTTATTCGCTCGAGGTCCTTGCAATGGTTGCGTTTGAGGTTCCTGCTAACAGTGACGGAATTTCAAGGCGACTTCTGCGGCGCCTGAAAACAGTATCATTGTCCGTGAATCGCTCGAGGTGGCAATCGTTGGGTTCCTGGTGACAGATACAGATTTTCGAAACGCCTGAAAAAGCAATCGCTGCGGCCGATATTCAGGCTTTCAGTCACTAAATGGCTCTGCGACATTTGAAGTCTAGGTTATTAGTCGTGCAGTGAAACGATGACATGTCTTAGCGATCGAAATGTAGCTATATAGGAAGAATGTGATGCTTCAGGTTGATGAAGTGTCAGGAGAGCAAATAAATAAATAAAAAATGTAAGGGACGCTTTAACTCTTGCCGGCCATTAGACCATATGATGGCTGAAACGTTGTTCGAACCATATTGTACAGTTGCTACGTTCGGACACCGGAAGGAGCAATATGAAAAATTTGAGGACAGTTGGAGAAAGTATCGGTGACAAAAATTGGTAAAATAATAATGCAACTGTTATTTTCCCTGAAGTCCCTTCGTGTCACAAAATTCGACCTTACCATGGAGATTTGCGACGCATGTTCCGGGAGAGCGGGTAATGCGGAGGAGATCGCCTCTCGGTACGCGTCCCTGTCTCGGCCGTAATCCGCGAGAATATTACCCTTGCTCGTAGCAATCCCCGCATACGCCACCAACTCTACTTCCTCCATCCTTCACGAACAGTCTTAACCTTAGATAGTACCCGTATAAAATACACTTGGATTGGAGCCTGCGATCGTGCAACGAGAGTTGCAAGTGGTCGAAGCTAGGAAGCAATGTGAGAGCAGTCAACCCAGAAATGTAAGCGACACGGCAATGGTGGCCATAAATGCGATCACAAGGCCCGCGAGTTCGTCCCTTTAACTAGATAAGAGGCAACGTTACGCCGATCTTCAGGCGATGACCGCTGACTGGGAACCGCCACTAAGATACGATCCTACTGCGAAAATCACGGAATAAAGACGTCGTGGCAAGTGTGCCTTGGGAATATCAGGCAGGCAAGCAGGTGGTACAGTACGTATGACATCTGTGGTTTGTTGTTACCTACGGTATAGTACGTTTCTGTACGGTGCATCGGATTTGGAACCCTTACAGAGGGAAAATGCCAGGGGTGTGATTTTGACGAGGCCCAAAGAACAAGCGAGGTCGGCGGAAGTAGGTGGGGGTTACACCAGGGTTGCTTTGCGCTACAGAGGGGGTCGGCGGAAGTTGGAGGTCAACTATCTAGCTGAGGGGGTGAATGAAAGCTCGGCGCGCAGATGCGCACAGCCAGATTTTTGTAGGCTTTCGGCGCATTCAAGCCAATCCACATTCCGATGTGATGCGCTGGCGGAGGCCCGTTGGATGTTGGAACGTGATCAGAGGGGGAAACGGTCAAGGTACCCTATTTCTGTATCTTGATTCTTGAGAGATGTACATGGAGCATCGTGTAGCATAACACCAAAAGCATGGAAAATAAAAAATAACGTCAGCATGCATGGACTGCACACACACACACACACACACACACACACACACACACACACACACACACACATACACACACACACACACAAAGACACACACCTGCTATCTGCATGATATTTCCAACTCATACAGATTTCTACACACTTTTTTTGGTATATCTCATAGATAAGTACACAACCTGTAAACCTAGAGGGTGGAGTGGAACCCTTATGGCTGTCCCTCTGCTGGTGAGGAGTTGTAATCTCACTTTATTGCAATAGCAAGCAGCTATGGTCATGCCCTCTGCTGAGCTTATTATGACCGTAGGGCGAAATCATACCTCGTCGTCACTCAGATACGCATCTAACTCATTCATCTTCTGATGGAGCACTCTCAACCTAAGGATATCCCCAGAGAAAGTTGACCTCGGCGTGCCTATAAAGATGCGCGCATTAGCGCATATATGCTTCTCCGCGAGTGCCCTGAGTATTCCATCCTCCTTCGAGTCCAAGTCCTGGAAATTCCTCACCCAGGGGAATTGTGCATACTCCGCAGATCCCTTTGCAAACTCGGGCAGGCGCACTACCACAAGTGGCCTCCAGCTACCCGAACCTGAATGATAGGGAGCACAAGGAAAATTAATGGATAGCGTAGGGAGGTGCAATAGAAGGGTCAGGGTAAGAATACAAAAAGAATCATTGTAACAAACAGACAAGGCAGAGTAAGTGAGCAACCCCATAGGAGTGCCTCGGCAAGACACTCTAGGCGTGACTGAGTAAATATGGCTTTCACCCCATAAATCAGTAAGATGCATAGAATAGAACTAGAGACAGAACCCACGGTGTACACTCACCAAGGAACAGCTTTTCCAGCAGTTGAATCTCGGACGGGCTTGCATCAGTTGCGAGGTACACCACGGACACGCCCGTATCTCTCAACCTCTCGATCACAAAACGGGCGACTGTGACGATGGGAAGGAAAGAGGCTCGTTCCCTCCTGTCGTCCTCCTTCCGGTAAGCCCTGGAGAAATCGCTTCGCCTTAGGTGCAGAGCTGCATATTCCGACCCCAGAAACGTGTCAATAAATCCATTTACAAAGTTCTCTATAACGAGCGGAGGCTGCCAGATGTCCGCGCAGGTGCTTGTAAAGGGAGCAACCGCGCCCTCGAAGTAGAAAGGAAGGCCACGCAGGCCCATGCCGTATGCATCCCCGAGGCTGATGACAGGCGCGTCGTTGTAGGGGGCGTATGCGTGAAGAAAGTCGTTGACGTCTTTGGAGGGTATGGTGGGGTACTCGAGTTTATCTGGCAGCGTGATGTGCGGATAGTGGTCCTTGATCTGAGATGGAGAGAAGAGATGGGAACGGGGATGGGATGCGGATGGGGATGGGGACGAGGATGGGGACGAGAATGGGATGGCTGAGAATGCTAGGATCAGATGAGAAAGCGCCTGCCGAGAGACGTTTGAGTTCACATGAGTTTGGGGATGGGAATGTGGATGGAACTGGGTGTGGGGATGGAGACGGGGATGAATATGGGAATGAATGAGAATGCGGATGGATGCGGATGGATGCGTTAGGAATGAGAATGGGAAAGGCCGAGCATGCTGGAGTGATTGAGGCAGAGAATCGAAGCAGGATGTAAAATCAGGACAGAGATGGTTGCAACACGTATAAGATAATGAGTTTGCTTATGGGGTTGCAGCGATGAGTTGCGAAAGGATTGTAGGACTGTTTGCTCACCATGGACCAGTTGTCTAGACACGAGTGGTTCGAAAAGCAAGCGATGTGATCGATTGCCACGTCACGGCCCTCCCTCGCCACGTACTCGTCCACAGTAATAACCGTCTCGTTAGTACCATAAGCCGGCGCGAGGCACGCCCTCATTCTAGTCACATCCACGATATTGTCCCATCGCCAGCAGAACGTTGCGAAGGCCACGCCGCAACTCTCGGTCGGAATTACCAGCGTTCGCTGCAGAAACGCGGCGGCGATTAAATAGTTCCGCAAGCACCGCTCCTGATTGGATAGTCGCCCGTACACGCACAGCGCCAGAAGATACCGGTTTTTCCGGGGAGTCCAAGATTGGATCTTCGGCTCGTTTAAGTCGATTTGCTGCGCCGACGGGTATGGTGATTTTATCTTCCTCGGCTTCGGCTTGTCGCCGCTGCTATCCTTCACTCCAGGGGCCTCTATAACGGGGATACGGGCTCCGTCACTGGACCCGCTTTGCATCAAGTGCACAATCTCTGCCAAACTCCGTCTTACGTGAGACTCCCTCGGTACTACGTTCTTCCCTGCGTCCCTTGATGAGCTGAGTTTCCTGCTAACCCTAACGCTACCGATCCTGTCACGGCGTTGGACATTTCGATTTACACTGCTGCTTATTTTTATTTTTAGACTACCGCTGCTGCCGCCGAATCTCCAGCTGCTCAATTTGGATCCTCCGCTGTTCGCGTTCCCTACTTGCACAGCAGCGGAGTTTTCCCGAACCTTCCCAATCGTAAGCGGCGAGAGAAAATCCCTCCACTGCTGGTTTAGTTTCTCCGGTTGTAGGTATGATTGCCATGTACGTGGTAGCAATGACACATGCGACCTTTTGAGAGTGGCAGATTCAGACGCGACGAAGGCAAAGTCGAGGTTGCAAAGTAGCAGCGACGCGAGAAATAAGATGACACTTATACTTCTAGCACGGGCGGGAAATGTGACAATTTTCCGGCTCACCATTGTGAACTCACTCAGGGATGAGATGAATGAGAGAGATTATCGTCGTGAATCTACTACCAAAGCTGTGACTCCAGTCTCGCAATAAACAGTAAGTCACAGCGGGAGCTCTTTATACTCGCGACAGTCTCACCTCCAGCGTCTTATCTCATCGCAAGGCTCGAGTCCTGCTCCTGTGTCTTGACTGAGGAAATGGTTTCTGGGATGTGTGAAGCTCGTGTTGCTCACTTCTGCCCCTGATCCAGTTGTCGCGTCGCGTTGCGTGACAAATTTCGTCTGCTTCCCTGCTCCGCACCCCAGCCTGCTGTGGGTAACTGACATGAATGAAGCTGTTGCGAATTGGCGCTTCGCCACACTCGTTTCGCCACACTCAGTGCAGCTTGCTGTCCCGCGACGACGGTCCACGACGAAAGTGCCTGAGGTTTGTTGCCCTTCTCACCAATCGTGAAGCTGCAAGAAAGTGCTGCGAAATCGTTACGTGTTTCGCGAGATGGGAAATTCCAGCATTCAACAGGCGTACGAACGAGATGGTGGCGGAGTATGGAAATGGTGGTGGTGGCTGGCAGTGTGGTGTGCCTCAGTTGCATACTCGTTTTCAAACATCTATTCATTTCAGATCACAGCCTCTTCGTGGAAGAATAGCGTAAATACATTTGCATTAACTTATACTACAAATGAAAATCTGAAAGAGCCACCACTAGCATGGAAATTACACAATAAAGCAATCAGCATAATTTCAATCAAGACTAGGACAGCATATCATAAACTAGATCTAAAGTTTTCAGAATGAGGATACTGATGCAACTATGGTTCCCCTCATCTCTGCACCATTAACCTTGATGGACGAGTAAAACGCTGTAGGGTTTGAAAAGAGCCCAGCATCGATCAACAACTTAGCCTTGTTGACCGGCTCATACGCAACAGTGAGGTTTGCGTTATCCGTAACCGTGCATGCATAGGAGTTAAAGGTTTCAAGCTTGAACGAGCATGGGAAATCAGTCACGAGCGCGAGACTGCTGTTGGTGTAGTATCCAGGGCTGGTGAATATGGGGGATGGGAGCCGAGGAACTCCGTTCACGCGGAATACAAAGGACGCACTCTGAACGGCAGCCGTGCTGAACGTGGTGGTGCGGGATAAGACACACGGGAATAAAATGACATTAGTGAGATCTAGCGATAGAGTCTAGCAGCTGAAGCCTTCAGCTAAGAGGGTTGGGTGAAAGGTTGTCAGTAAGTGCAGATGGGTAAATTTGGAATAGCTTGAAAAACTGCATGTGAACTGAATGGAAAGCTGTGCTCGGGGTAGCAGTGCTTACACGTGAATATCCACGCTAAAACTGCCATTAAGGCTAGTGGAAGTCGTAGAGGTGGTGGTGGTAGTCGATCTGAGAACAGGGGGATGAGAGAGGCGCTTGTATGTGAGACAACATAAAAAACGTGGAAGTATCGATATGTGTATCGAAATGACTTGATTCGAATCAAAAGTCTTTTTTGCTGCAGAACAATCGTTCCTACACCCTCAGCACAGCAGTTGCTACTGCTTATAGCACGGCACTACTTGGGTATGGGGGAAAAGTGCACTTACGTGTTGCTGGTTGTGGTGGTAGTATTGAGAGCAGAGGTAGTAGATGATACTTTCGTTAGCGTTGACGTCGCTTGGACTGCAGGGGCGAATGGGATGAAAAGATAAGGAGAAAAGAGCTTGGGCGATGTGGTTGGTTTGGCTTGAGCAGCTAAAAGGACGACGCGGGTACTTCTGGGTTACTCCAAAACAAGCCAAACAGCGCGTATCGGACTGTCTTACAGCGTATATTCTTGCGACACGTATCGGACTGTCTTACAGCGCGAAGTGATGCCTGTCTGGAGCAGGTGACGCCCGGCAGACGCGCAGGAGACGAGAGAGAGCAGCGCTGGGGAGGGTGAGCGATCGCCGGGGCCCCGGGGGGGGAGGGGGAGGGAGGTGGGGGGAAGGGAGAATAGCGTTACTCGATGATTCGGCTCCAGGAGGGCACTTCAGACGTCGCGAAATCTTGCGAGATAGAGGAGGAGTCGCGAAACCTTGAAGACGCCACTGAGAGAGCGCAGCTTTCTGAAAGAAATGGTGGTTCGGGTCTGATGGTGCGACGTCCGTTCAGGGATTATGACTGAATACGGAGGGAAAATTATGCAGAGGCGGCCTCGTGAACGTTTCTGCTCGCCAGCGCATTTCATGAAAGAAGAGGCGGGATTCTGCATGCTGCGACGTTCCCGGAAGTTAATTGCGATTTCCCCAGAAGATGCGGAGGCGGCCTCACGAAATTTAAGCTTTTCCTTTCATCGACCGCATTTTGAGAATCAGTTGAGCAAGATGCTTTTGAGAATTCTCAAGAAAACCCTGCGAGCTTCACGAAACATTTGAAAAGTTGAATCAGAGCGTAGAACCCAGCAAACGCCGGCTCAGCAGCAAAGATGGAATTAAAAAACAAGGGGGCTCCTGAAAACGATAAGCAAGACCAGCAGAAAATGTGTTCAACACAGCGTTACCAAGGGCGTCAGAAAGTTATGTGTTGTTACTACTTGTAGATCTAAACGCCGCTCACCAGCAAGGGCGACAGCGAGTTGCATGGGGAGTGACGCCCGGGCCATGATGGTTGTTACGGACAAAACTAGTGCCGCTCGTAACAATGTTGTGTTCGAAGCGAAGCTACGAATGAAGAGACAGAGGCGAGCCGTGGCACTGCGAGGGATTCCGAACTTGAGTGAAACGCTCAGAGTAATGGAGAGGTCCGAATGAAATGAAAGAAAGGAACGCCTTCTTTTATAGGCACGGTAGATGCAACATTGACAAAGAACAACGTAAAAGCATATACGGTGCGTCCGATGCGGCGGGGTAGCAGGTTCAATGCGATGCGCCAAATGTGGCAGGGAGGCGTTTGCGTAGAAACGCAGCGAGATTAGGAGTTTCCCTGCAAAACGCAATTCTCGGGAATGCACCTGAGAAAATACGTCCTACGCACTAGACAATGTGCTGCTCGGGTCGGAGTCGCAAATCTCAGGTGCTTCCGGGATTTGTGCTGCTTGGACGGAAGAGATTGGGCATTCCATTTGCCTCTCGTGACCCTTCGTCCCAAGCGCCGCAATTCGCGCAGGGGAAAAACATCTCCTTCAGAAATACGCGAATTGACGGTACAGTGGTATTCGTAGAGATTTACACTATTCCATTATCCTAATGTATAAATTCTCATTTTCCCTTCTGAAGGCATTTCAGGAAGTTGAGGCTGGGTGGGTCTAGAGTGATGGAGATCATTAAAGCGCAATACAAACATTGTGATTTCCTATACCGTATGTGAAGAAAAACATCATTATATATGTACATGGACTGAATTATCAGCACAAAAAATGCACTGGAATTTCAGACTTTCGTGGGGAAAGCTGAACCCCCAGCCTATCTCAGAGGGGGAAGGCTGATTGATAAATCAACCCTAAAACCAATCTAGGGGCCTGATCAAAATCCTAGTGCCCTGCGAGCTAGATAAGGGGGCTTAACAATATTCACACCGGTACCTCATTATCCAGAAACGCATCCACTTCGTTCATCCTCCCATGCAGCACTCTCAACCGAAGAATATCCATCGTGAAAGTTGACTTCAGCGTGCCTATAATGAAGCGCGCATTAGCGCATATGTGCTTCTCTGCAAGCGCTCTGAGATTGCCATCTTCCTCTGAATCCAAGTCTTGGAATTCCTTCACCCAGGGGAACTGAGAATACTCCTGCGACCCCTTGGCGAATTCCAGCAGGCGCACCACCACAAGGGGCGTAGTGCTGCCCGAACCTGAAGGATAGGGAACACAAGAGATGTCAATAAAAGGACAGGTTCAGCCTGAAGAGCAGAGTTGTATCGAGGGTCGGCAAGGCAATATAGAATGCGATAAAATTACCAGCGCGTAGAAGCATCAGATGTGTTAATTTCTGGGTTTACTCACCAAGAAGCAGCCTCTCCAGCAGTTCAATCTCAGACGGGCTTGCATCAGTTGCAAGGTACACCACAGATGCGCCCGTATCTTTCAACCTCCCAACAATAAATTGTGCAACCGTGACTATGGGAAGGTAGGCAGCATGTGTATTCTCCACACTGTTCCCCTTTAGGTAATGCAGGGCGAAATCGCTCCGCCTAAGGTGCACCGCTGCATAATCCGATCCCAGAAACGTGTCGATGAAACCGTTAACAAAGTTGTCTATAACGGGGGGAGGCAGCCAGATATCCGCGCAGGTGCTTTTAAAGGGGGGAACCGCGGACCAAAAGAAGAAATGGAGGTGGATCAGAGACATGCCATAGGCATTCCCGAGGCTGATGACAGGCGCGTCGTTGTAGGGGGCGTAGGCGTGCAGAAAGTCGTTGACGTCTTTGGAGGGTATGGTGGGGTACTCGAGCTTATCGGGCAGAGTGATGTGCGAATAGTGGTCCTTGACCTGTGGAGCATGTGAAGGGGAGCCGCGGGAGTCAAAGGGATGGTTAGCATGCGAAGGGGTAGCATGTGAAGTATGTGAGGATGGTGGTGGGGATGGGGATAAGGATGGGATGGGAATGAATGAGCGTCTAGTGGTATTTCAACCTCTGTAGCAGAGTGATGTGCGGATGCTGCTCGTTGATCTGTGGAGCATGGGAGGGGTTAGAGTATGCTGGGATGGGATGGCAATATGCAATTAAAAGGGACCGAAAATCAGCTCACCATGGACCAGTTGTCTAAACACGAGTGGCTGGAAAGACACGCGATGTGATCGATTGCCACGTCACGACCCTCCCTCGCCACGTACTCATCCACCGTAAGAACAGTCTCGTTAGTACCATACGCCGGCGCGAGGCACGCTCTCATTCTAGGCACATCCACGATATTGTCCCATCGCCAACAGTATGCTCTGAAGGCCACGCCGCAGCTCTCGGTAGGAATAACTAGCGTTCGCTGTAGAAGCGCGGCGACGATTAAGTAGTTCCGCAAGCACTGCTCCTGATTGGACAGCCGCCCGTACACGCACAGCGCGACAAGGTACCGGTTTTTCGGGGGCATCCAAGATTCGATCTTCTCTTGAGATGAGTCAATCAGACTCGCGTACGGCGACTTGATTGTCGTCTGCTTCGGCTTGTCGGCGCTGTTAATAGCATCATCTTTCGCTCCGACTAATTCCATACGGGGGAAACTGGCTCCGTTACTGGGTCCGCTTTGCTTCGAAAGCGACACAATCTCTGCCAGAGTTCGTTTTCTAAACGTCTTTCGAATGGAACCGCTGCTGCTACCACCGCGTCTCCCGCTTTCGCTCGAGCTGGTGCTGGCCTTCCAAGCCGCATCATCGGTGCTTCCGCTTCCGCTTCTGTAGCTATTCGCCGCCGCATTGCTTACAGATTGAATCTGAGCAACCCAACCCTCACTAGCGGCGAACGCAGGCTTTCCGCGAAGCGCGGCCCCAACCCTAGTCACTAGCGGCGAAAGAAAATCCATCCACTTGATGTTTAACTTCGGGAAATGTGGCAGGTACTCTTGACGTGACTGTGCTGTCCACAGTGACGCGCTTCCACTGGAGCTTTCAACGCTGGTGCTTCCCGACGCCGCGGCGCCGACTGCGGCGCAGTTGACGCTGAGAAAAAGCAGCGACGCGGCGGCAACTCGGAGAACTGTAGTACACGGACTGAAAAAAGCTTCAGGCCGCGCCGCCTGCAGTTCTTCGGGCGATCGCCGAGCCGCCCTGCTTCGGCCAGTCCCGGTCCGCCGCAGCATGATCACGTGACTTGCAGTTCGTCTTAGGTTGGGACCCTTCTCCGATTCCGTACTAATAACGCGGCGACTCTCGGAGAAAGAGAGGTTTGTCGTGGGGACGACGGTGACAGCTAGTAGGGATGACCAAGCCGAGCCTTTAGGAGGTATCGACAGCTAGCAGGTAGAGTCGACAGGTGCATCACACCTTCCGCAAGCTCTGAATTACCAGATGTGTGCTTTGACCTGCGGCCACCTGCTAGCATTTTCCGCTTCGTAGGCATTTCGGACTTCGTAACAAGTGAGTTCCAAGCAAGTTCGTGGCCGTGCCAAGGTCCTTCAAGGAAATCGCACAGGGGAGAATAAGGGCCCTGTTCGGCAGGCGCATCAAGCACAGGCTCGGGCATGGGCTACAGTAAAACGACCACCCAGGAATTTTCCGATATAAGTGGTTGACCGGTTATCAAGGCCCAGGATAGGCGCATGGCTGCCGAAGCGAACTTGTGCTGAATGACTGCCGAACAGACTTTTTGGCCCCTGGTTTGGGAATGGAAAGCGCGTTCTCGAAAACATCCTCTCCTGGCAAATAGACACATCGTGGAGAGGCTGCACCATGCGCGCATCAGCTGATGCGGGGCAGCATTGAAGATTCGATTTTTTTTTTTTAATCTAGTTTTGTCTTTAGCGCAAACATGCCCGAGCTCAACTCTCCCCAAATTAGGGCTGAACAGCTGTGATGAAATGTTCGTGGAAATGTTTGGACTCTACCCAACAAGCCTCGGGGCAGCCCGGGCAGTTGTGGAGCGAAGGTGCATTGAACGCGACATTATCCTTCCGCGAGCCTGAGACAAATTGACAAAACCCGAACCGTACTATCTCGTATGGTTGCACCACTCACGAACCTGAGCCCATTCCCGAGCCTAGATGCTGACGCGCCTGCCGAACAGGGCCAAGGCATTGCCGCCCACATTCGCAGAAAGTCGCTATGCGGTCGCTTATCACGAAGTTTGTTGTCCAAAACAACCTGATAATTTCTCCGTAGAAATCGTCGCAGCTCGCATGAGCGCGGCTGCCGGCGAGAACCACGAGGCGCAGGATAATCGAGAGGCTTGACTAAGAATGCCACATACGAGCAGTTCGCTCTGTGGGTGGAGTTGGGGGAGAGAACTTGGGAGAGTGTACCGTACCGTACCGTACCGTACCGCATACGGTCCCTTCAATTCCAACTTTACCAGGTGTATTTCCAGCTTGTGCTGCAGCAACAGAAGTTGGGGATGGGGAGAGTGTACCGTACCGTACCGTACCGTACACTACACGTATTCGGTCCCCTGAATTCCAACTTCCAAATTTGGGTTTTCAGCTTAGCGGGGAGAGGTACCTGGACCCCTCCGCTAAAAGGGCAGGGGTAGCGCTTTCTGCGCATGGTTTCCGCAAAAGGCTGGGCTAGGGGGGGAGGGTTATTGTTCAGGTTAGGGAGTCGAGCCCTCAATGAGCCACGTGTTTCATCCTACGCTTGCTCGCTCACTGTACATCACAATCACAGATTCCGCACTGCGCGTGCTTGTCTTTTCTACCGAACCCATCCCACGTTCCGGGTGGCTTGACGGCCCACTGTTCCCAAACCACTGTGGCCCTACCTTTCGCGCCAATACTTGTTACAGCTTAACTGAAAACGCACAGAAACTCCGTCAAAGGACTTTCATATCAAGGTTGTGGCACACAGGAAAAGTGAAACACAATACAAGTAAATCCGTTACGAGAGGTTGAATTGATTGCGCATAGAATGAAAATAGGGATATAAAATAAGAATGCCTAGGTCAGGTTTTCATATGCAAAACCTTGATTTGTGTTATTGAACCATTGTCGAGTTTAGTATTGGATCAGTGACTATGTCGTATATATACATGAGATCTAGTATAGAAATAAATACATATGTTAATATGGTAGATGCATTTTTTAATGCTAAACGATAAACAGCTTTTCAGGTCCATGATAAAATAGATACAACTTCCTATCTTCGTGAGGTTGAATCTGCATATTATTCTTTGGATACAATATAATTCGACATGTCGTTGCAATTTTTGGATCATCATATCTTCCTACCAAATGTGGCGAATGACAACAAACATGTACAGCTCGCTTAGAATATAGTAAATGTTCGAATAGTAAAAATAAACATTGTTTAACATAACAAACGGAAGCTGATTTTGCACAGGCCTATCCTTGCACAGTTCTACCTGCTCGCATGTTTGGAACATCATATATCCTTACTAAATGTTGCGAATGACACCAAACCTGTCCAACACGTTTAGAATATAGTAAATGAAGGCATGATAGAAAGAAACATTGTTTCAAATAACAAACGGAAGTTGATTTGGCACCTCGTAATAGCATAGGCCTATCCTTGCACAGTTCTCCATGCTCGCATGTTTGGAACATCATATATCCTTACTAAATGCTGCGAATGACACCAAACCTGTCCAACACGCTTAGAATATAGTAAATGAAGGCATGATAAAAAGAAACATTGTTTCAAATAACAAACGGAAGTTGATTTGGCACCTCGTAATAGCACAGGCCTATCCTTGCACAGTTCTCCTTGCTCGCATGTTTGGAACATCAAATCTCCTTATTAAATGCTGCGAATGACACCAAACCTGTCCAACACGCTTAGAATATAGTAAATGAAGGCATGATAGAAAGAAACATTGCTTCAAATAACAAACGGAAGTTGATTTGGCACCTCGTAATAGCACAGGCCTATCCTTGCATAGTTCTCCATGCTCGCATGTTTGGAACATCATATATCCTTACTAAATGCTGCGAATGACACCAAACCTGTCCAACACGCTTAGAATATAGTAAATGAAGGCATGATAAAAAGAAACATTGTTTCAAATAACAAACGGAAGTTGATTTGGCACCTCGTAATAGCACAGGCCTATCCTTGCACAGTTCTCCTTGCTCGCATGTTTGGAACATCATATCTCCTTACTAAATGCTGCGAATGACACCAAACCTGTCCAACACGCTTAGAATATAGTAAATGCATGAATGATTGAAAGAAACATTGTTTCAAATAACAAATGGAAGTTGATTTGGCACCTCGTAATAGCACAGGCCTATCCTTGCACAGTTCTCCTTGCTCGCATGTTTGGAACATCATATCTCCTTATTAAATGCTGCGAATGACACCAAACCTGTCCAACACGCTTAGAATATAGTAAATGAAGGCATGATAGAAAGAAACATTGTTTCAAATAACAAACGGAAGTTGATTTGGCACCTCGTAATAGCACATGCCTATCCTTGCACAGTTCTCCCTGCTCGCATGTTTGGAACATCACGCCTCCCTTATTAAATGCTGCGAATGACACCAAACCTGTCCAACACGCTTAGAATATAGTAAATGAAGGCATGATAGAAAGAAACATTGTTTCAAATAACAAACGGAAGTTGATTTGGCACCTCGCAATAGCATAGGCCTATCCTTGCACAGTTCTCCTTGCTCGCATGTTTGGAACATCATATCTCCTTATTAAATGCTCCGAATGACACCAAACCTGTCCAACACGCTTAGAATATAGTAAATGAAGGCATGATAGAAAGAAACATTGTTTCAAATCACAAACGGAAGTTGATTTGGCACCTCGTAATAGCATAGGCCTATCCTTGCACAGTTCTCCCTGCTCGCATGTTTGGAACATCACGCCTCCCTTATTAAATGCTGCGAATGACACCAAACCTGTCCAACACGCTTAGAATATAGTAAATGAAGGCATGATAGAAAGAAACATTGTTTCAAATAACAAACGGAAGTTGATTTGGCACCTCGTAATAGCACAGGCCTATCCTTGCACAGTTCTCCTTGCTCGCATGTTTGGAACATCATATCTCCTTATTAAATGCTGCGAATGACACCAAACCTGTCCAACACGCTTAGAATATAGTAAATGAAGGCATGATAGAAAGAAATATTGTGTCAAATAACAAACGGAAGTTGATTTGGCACCTCGCAATAGCACATGCCTATCCTTGCACAGTTCTCCCTGCTCGCATGTTTGGAACATCATATCTCCTTACTAAAATAAGATAGCATATCAACTCTATACATAGCGTATGCAAAGAAACCTCTGCTCTTCCACCTCCTGCTACTGCCCTAGTCGCTGTGGCTGCTGCTGCTGCTGCACCAAATCCAATAGCTGATGCCATAATCGCTGCAGATCGATGAACCCCTGCTGATGTAGTGGCTGGCCCTGCTGTTGTGTATGATGGTACATTTGGTTCTGTTGCAATGCCTGCATCAGCTGCACCAGGTGCAGCCCTTGACCCTGGAGCTCCTCTTGCTGTACCTGATGTTGTGGTGGCAACTCCCACTGCTGCCTAAGCTGCAGCACCGTGTGCGCATGAGCTTGGGCAGTACCTTGGACAACACCTTGACCACTTTGAGTACCTTCTACAACTGGTTGTTCCTCCAAATCATCCTCTGTATCTGAACTACTGCCCCACTCCTCATCCGATAATTCAACATCTTTATCCTCACCCATCCTTTACCCCATCTACCTGTCTGCTCTCCCTTCCCTCTATTGCCTAAGAGCCTCGCACACTACGACTCGGTGGTGCCTTCTGTTGCATGCAGAACATTGTGAGAGATGTGTATATGCTTCAATAAGATTGGTAATGGGCGCAAAGCGCAGAAACATGCAACAAAGAGAAGAGTACACCAAAGGTTGGTATTTCGGGTTTAGGCTACAGCAATTATCAAATCATTACCGAGTCATTACGCATGCAAATACGGGGCCTCCATCTCTTTAATGTTGGAAAAGTCAACCTTTCCAGAATGTAATAAAGTGTAATTAAATAAAGTAGCCTACCAATTCTATACGTAGTGTACACAACTAACAGCTGCTACCCCACCTGCTTCTACTGCCCTGGATGTTTCGGCTGCAATTGCTGCACCAAATTCAATAGCTGCTGCCATTGTCGCTGCAGATGTTGTTGCTGATCTGGTGGTGGGAGCAGCTGTTGTTGATGATAGTACATTTGGTTTTGCTGCAATGCCTGCAGCAGTTGCAACAGGTGCAGTCCTTGACCCTGGAGCAGCTCATGCTGTCCCTGATGCTGTGGTTGCAACTCGCGCTGCTGCTGCTGCTGCTGCTGCTGCTGCTGCTGCTGCTGCTGCTGCTGCTGCTGCTGCTGCTGCTGCTGCTGCTGCTGCTGGTGCTGCTGCCCCTGCTGCCCCTGCTGCCCCTGCTGCTGCTGCCCCTGCTGCTGTTGCTGCTGCTGCTTCTGCTGCTGCTGCTGCTGCTGCTGCTCCTCCCGCCGCCGCTGCCGCCCCTGCCGCTGCTGCTGCTGCCCCTGCTGCCCCTGCTGCCCCCGCTGCTGCTGCTGCTGCCCCTGCTGCTGCCCCTGCTGCTGCCCCTGCTGCTGCCCCTGCTGCTGACCCTGTTGCCGCCCCTGCTGCTGCCCCTGCTGCCCCTGCCGCCCCTGCCGCTGCTGCTGCTGCCCCTGCTGCCCCTGCTGCCCCCGCTGCTGCTGCTGCTGCCCCTGCTGCTGCCCCTGCTGCTGCCCCTGCTGCTGCCCCTGCTGCTGCCCCTGGCGCTGCTGCTGCTGCTGCTGCTGCTGCTGTTGTTCCCGCCGCCGCTGCCGCCCCTGCCGCTGCTGCTCGTGCCCCATAAGCCCCTGCTGCCCCTGCTGCTGCTGCTGCTGCTGCTGCTGCTGCTGCTGCTGCTGCTGCTGCTGCTGCTGCTGCTGCCCCTCTTGCTGCTGTTGCTGCTGCCCCTGCTGCCCCTCTTGCTGCTGCTGACCCCTCCGCTGCTGCTGCTGCTGCTGTCCATGCCTAGGGTCCCACTGCTTCTCCTGCTCCCGCCGTCTCAAGCGTCTTTGCTGCAACTGCAAGCTTCTCCACTGGCGCCGTTGCTTCTGCCCCAACCGCAAGTGTTGCAGTTCCTCCTGCATTTCCACGCATTGGTCATCAGCAACTGGCTCATCCACAGCAACTGACTCTTGTGTATCGGGTACCGGGGCCTGTACAACCTGCCTGGCCCCTCCCCTTGGCTCCACACTCCCTGTTTCCTCTCTCTCCTCCCCGCTTGCTTCAGCATCCACTGTTGCCTGCCGTTGATCCCCACGACCTGACTCGGATGCCACCTGTCTCTGCTGACGCAGGTGCTGCATTCGCCGCAACCGAAAACGAATGATGTTATCACCATTGTTATGATCTCCTACACCTCCACCCACCCCTCTACTCTCTGTGGCTCCTCCTCTCAGCCCCACTCCACCGCTCAACCCTGGTCCTCTCTCACCCCCCACCCCTCCACTCTCTGTGGCTCCTCCTCTCAGCCCCACTCCACCGCTCAACCCTGGTCCTCTCTCACCCCCCACCCCTCCACTCTCTGTGGCTCCTCCTCTCAGCCCCACTCCACCGCTCAACCCTGGTCCTCTCTCACCCCCCACCCCTCCACTCTCTGTGGCTCCTCCTCTCAGCCCCACTCCACCGCTCAACCCTGGTCCTCTCTCACCCCCCACCCCTCCACTCTCTGTGGCTCCTCCTCTCAGCCCCACTCCACCGCTCAACCCTGGTCCTCTCTCACCCCCCACTCCTCCACTCTCTGTGGCTCCTCCTCTCAGCCCCACTCCACCGCTCAACCCTGGTCCTCTCTCACCCCCCCACCCCTCCACTCTCTGTGGCTCCTCCTCTCAGCCCCACTCCACCGCTCAACCCTGGTCCTCTCTCACCCCCCACCCCTCCCCTTGGTCCCACTCCTACACTCACTGTTGGCCGTCTCTCAGCCCTCCCTCCTCCTCTCTCTGCAGATCCTCCCTGCACTCCCACCCCCCCGCTCACTGTTGGTCCTCTCTCAGCCGTCTCCACTCCACTCCTGTCTGCTCCTCGCCTCGCCCGGACTCCACCCCTCTCCGCTTGTCCTCTTCCTCTCCCTGCCCTTCCCCTTGTTTCTGCTGGTCCACCCCTCCATCCGCCTCCCCCAATCTCTGCTACTCCTCCCCTCCCTCCGACTCCTGCATTTTCACCTGCTCCACCCCGCCCTCCTACTCCCCCACTCTGCTGCTCCTCCTCTCCCTGCCACTCCTCCCCTCCCTGCATGTCCTCCCCTCCCTGCATGTCCCCCCCTCCCTGTATGTCCTCCCCTCCCTGTATGCCCTCCCCTCCCCGTATGCCCTCCCCTCCCTGTTCCTCTTCCCATTCCAGTCGTTTCCCCTCTCTCAGCCACTCCTCTAACATCAGCCATTCCTCCTTCATCTCGCACTACTCCCCTCCCTCCTGCTCTTGCCTCTCCTCCCATTCCCCCATTCTCACCTCCTCCTCCCAACCCTCCGCCTCCCCCATTCTCACCTCCTCCCATCCCTCCGCCTCCCCCATTCTCACCTCCTTCTCCCATCCCTCCGCCTCCCCCATTCTCACCTCCTCCTCCCAACCCTCCGCCTCCCCCATTCTCACCTCCTCCTCCCAACCCTCCGCCTCCCCCATTCTCACCTCCTCCTCCCATCCCTCCGCCTCCCCCATTCTCACCTCCTCCTCCCATCCCTCCGCCTCCCCCATTCTCACCTCCTTCTCCCATCCCTCCGCCTCCCCCATTCTCACCTGCACCTCCCATCTCTCCGCATCCCCCATTCTCACCTCCTCCTCCCATCCCTCCAAATACTTCACGCAGAACGGTGTGCACATGACCTTGGACAGCACCTTGAGCACCAGCTTGAGCACCTTCGACCACTGGTTGTTCCTCCAAATCATCCTCTGAATCCGAACCGCTGCCCCACTCCTCATCCAATAATTCAGCATCTCCATCCTCACCAACACCCTCTTGTGGTGTGCTACTGTCCATTGCCCCATCTGCCTGTCTGCTCTCGCGTTCCCTCTGTTGCCTAAGAGCCTCGCACACTACTCCTCGGTGGTGCCTTCTGTTGCATGCAGAACATTGTGCCACACTCACTCGAGCCTCCGCTCGTGTTGCTGTTTGAACACTCATGTGCCCTGCTGGAGTGTGAAGTGCCTCCCATGCATCTCTTAGCTGTTTACGCAAATCACACGTCTTTCTGTTGTGCCCCTTCTCTCCACACTTCCCACACTTACGCAGTTTTCTACCATCGATCTCACCGTGGGACCTCAACCGGGTAGTGCGTGGCCTTCCCGATTTTTTGGGATAGGCTGGCGGGAGAGTGGTGCGATCTGGAATTACCATTGTTCGGTCTAGAGGTTCAACCTCCGTGCTGTAGAGTTCCTTCAGGGCGGCTGAAGTGTAGCATCCATGCACCATGGCTTGCACCACTTGTTGTAGAGCCGCCAACTCATTCCCTCTAGCAGGCCGGCTGAGATGAAGGAGTACTGCGAAGATGTGCATACATGGGAGTCCGTACTCACTGCAGAAGGACAGGAACAATACAACAAAGGAGAACGGGAAACAACACACATCAGAACACGACCATTAAGCAAGGATTGCATGGGTGCAAGGCTGATTTGGCCAAAATCTTATGATTGTGATGTGACACACACGAAGCATCTTGTGGGAACACAACAAATAGTGCAAATACTCAATCACGACTACATAATATTCACCTTAACCATTACTCACCTAGTGTAGTTACACGTGCACACCGTCTTCTCAGGGTGCTCCTCATCCATCTTCACCACACGCTCCTCCGTAGCTCCTATCCTGCAGCTCACATGATACGAACCCCGCCCAGTACGCTCCACTTTGTACTGTGTCCCCGTCTGGCAGTTAGCTCGGATGATGGCTGCTGTTTTGGGGGGGAAATCAGCAACCCCCAAACTTCCATACAGCGCACGCCCCTCTTCCATTGCCGTCGCTTGCTGCTTTATGAATGAAAGCAGCGCTTGCGCGGGATTGTCCCTTCTAACCTTGCGCATAGAGGCATGGTGCGATTCCACCGGATTCGAAGTGTAGCTGCCATAGCGCGCTGCACCGAATGAGAAGGTAGCCCACTTCGCGGCCAATCCATCCCTCTCCAAATATTCTTTTCCCCCAGCGCATTCTGCCTCTATCTTCTCCATGAAGTCCCGGTACACATCTCTGGTCAAGGCTGCCGCTGCTAGCTCGATCTTGCCATCCAAATCCGACCCAAATTTTGAATTAAAGTTTCTCACCAAGTGAGTGACACAAAAGGCCTCACGTATCCCTGGCAACACTCTTGTGGCAGCAGCCTTCAACGCTTTGCCACGATCATGCATCAGGGTGAACTTTGGGGTGTTCAGCTCAGGGGCAGCACGCTTCAATAGCCACAAGAAGTACTCACATGCCCCTGCGTTCTCAGCTTCTACCCATGCGCTCCCTAGCCTCACTAGCTTATGTTCACAGTCAATCATACACGCGTTAATGGTATGCCCACGCCACTTTCCCTTGTTGTGACAAGCATCAACAAAGATGATAGGAAAGCAGTTTTTGACAATTTCCCGAATTCCAGGATACACCACTGCGGCCCGATGAAACATCCTACCATTTAACTGCAGGGACACGACGCTTGTTGGATTTTTGGACCTAAAGACTTCCAAAATGCTGCCAATGTACTGGAACCCGTTATCGCTAACGGGTCCCCTTTTACCACGACATCATTTATTGACCGTGCAGTCGTAGAATAGCTGCAGTCCTTGCCTAATTTCTCTCGCACCAGGTCTTGCAATCCCCCGGGTGTAACGACGGTATGAGGATGTACTTCACGCACCAACCTGTTAACTTCCTCTCTCCTAATCCGACCAGGTTGTGGCACACACATGTGTGCGTGCTGCAGGTTCACAGATTTGACGCTGAGGCTGCAATCCCGAGGCCCGGTGACTAAAATCCTAAATGGGCAACACCACTCTGGTGCATTTGCCTCATCTTTGGGCCAGTCCTGATCTTTCATCGATGGACAACGGGCTTCTAGGCGGTCTGCTTTGTTGTGGAAAAAGTAAGGCTTGAAATTGTTCTGGTCGCCATAATCTACTATTGCATCCCTAGCGTCGCTCACGGAGGGGTAGACCTTTCCCGTGTGGATGTCGATGTCCTCTCTGCGTTGTCCCACAAATGCACTGTTCAGAAACATCGCACAAACAGTAGTGATAAAATTTTATCAAAATTGGAAACGCATTGGCTGAATGTGCACCTATGCATGACCTATCATTCAGATTGCATGCGTGACACCGTAAAATCACCTTGCAAGTGAGCTTCTGAACATTTTGCATGCGTTTTCTTTTAATAATTGATGCGCTTATGGCCTGAAAACCACAGAGGGAAGACACGTATGGTGGACAAGGTGTCAGCGTTACAGATTGAACAACCAAATAGAGTCAACCAACGAGTAGGCGAGGTTCTATTCAAGAGAAGAAGATGAGAGGGTGGTAGATTGCAAGAGTTATAAGACAGGGTGGTTCGAAGACGCTGAGATTGGGGCAGTGAACTAAAAGGCAAGCATTATATTTAGGAGGTTGACTTGAACTGGTGTATGTGAGTAGCGATGCTATGCTCGATGAGTGAAGCTAAACAGTGAGTGAAACGAGCATTGGAACATACTGTATCAAGGCAGGTGGTAGCGTTCTAAGAAGAAAGTTGTTCGTCCGCCTACGGGAAAAGCATAAAGAACGAGTGAGGGGTTTGAAGGGGACGGATTAGAGGTACGAGCGTTAAGAATCTAACGAATGAGCATACGAAATGGAACGGATTAAGGAGAGGTCGAATCAATCTCAATAATAAGAATATCGTTTGTTGTAAAAGCAAGTGTGATGCATGAGGAAACGTCGAGAGCGTGGTTGAAGGGTCTGAGCGGACATAGCATGTAGAAGCTCAATTACATAATGGAGGATTGGGATGGGGGGACCGTCATGACTCCACGGCTGGATACGCTTTACGAAATGTAATCTTGCAGACTCCGGAACATAGACATTTCGTCTATATGCAAATTGCATTGACAGTCCTAACTCTCAATTTTAAGATAAACTACGGAAGCCAATGGCAGTAACGTAGTTAGCAAACTAGTGCAAACCCTAATTTCTTAACTATCGAAGTGGCGTGGTTGAGTTTCAGACGGAGGGAGTTTCAATTCTGACAATCACAACCTGCAGCTGGGTTGATTCCTAGCTGGGGGGGACATTGACGGAGTTTCTGTGCGTTTTCAGTGAAGCTGTAACAAGTATTGGCGCGAAAGGTAGGGCCACAGTGGTTTGGGAACAGTGGGCCGTCAAGCCACTCGGAACGTGGGATGGGTTCGGTAGAAAAGACAAGCGCGCGCAGTGCGGAATCTGTGATTGTGATGTACAGTGAGCGAGCAAGCGTAGGATGAAACACGTGGCTCATTGAGGGCTCGACTCCCTAACCTGAACGATAACCCTCCCCCCCTAGCACAGCCTTTTGCGGAAACCATGCGCAGAAAGCGCTACCCCGGCCCTGAAAGCGGAGGGGTCCAGGTACCTCTCCCCGCTAAGCTGAAAACCCTCCAAATTTACCAGAGGGTTTTCAGCTTAGCAGGGAGGGGTTTCCCGAACCCTCCGCTTTCAGGTTAGGGGTAGCGCTTTCTGCGCACAGTTTCCGCTAAAGGCTGGGCTAGGGGGGGAAGAGTTATTGTTCAGATTAGGGAGTCGAGCTCTCAATGAGCCACGTGTCCCAATTTTCACAGAGAGGTTACTGTAGGTGTTCAATCACAGATTCTCCACTGCTCTGGTTTGTCGTTTTTACTCAATATATTACACTCGAAATACCCCAACGGACACACGAGCAAAAAAAATAAACCCCAGTCGGGAAGGCATCCGGTCAGGGAGGCATCAACCCTAAACACCTTGTGGCATGGTGTTTAGGGTTGATGCCTCCCTCGGACGCATTTTAGGGAGGAATCAACCCTAAACACGGGACCCTCCTTCTTGTTTGGGTTGATGCCTCCCGAGTCGCACCCCTTCCCGATTGGGTTTAATTTGTTTCGGTCAGGTAGGGTGCATTTTTTCTCAGGGTTTCGGGTGCAATGTAATTTGGACAAAAACTAAAGAAAACAACGGCCACACAGCTTTGGGAACAGTTGGCTGACGAGCTACCCCGAACGTGGGCTGGATTCGGTTGAAAAGACAAGCCTGCGCAGTGCAGAATCTGAGATTGAAGATGAACAGTAACCACGTGGCTCATTGAGAGCTCGACTCCCTAACCTGAACAATAACCCTCCCCCCCTAGCCCAGACTTTTGCGGAAACTGTGCGCAGATAGCGCTGTCCGTTCCCTGAAAGCGGAAGGGTCCAGATACCTGTCCCCGCTAAGCTGAAAACCCTTTACCAGAAGCATGTGCTGCAGCAACAGAGTTTGTACTGACTCGCCACAACATCCACTGCAGCCACGGCCACCACGCACCACCGTACCACACATTCTATACCTACACATGCACCACCGCACATCTCATACCGACCGACACATGCAACCACCCCACACATTCCATCGGGTTTTCAGCTTAGCGGGGACAAGTGTCCCGACCCCTCCGTTTTCAGGGGACGGGTTTCGCATCCTGCGCACAGTTTCCGCAAAAGGCTGGGCTAGTGGGGGACAGTTATCGTTCAGGTAAGGGACTCGAGCTCTCAATGAGCCACGTGTTTCATCCTTCACAGCTCGCTCACTGTACACATGCAATCACAGATTCTGCACTGCGCATGCTTTTCTTTTCCACCGAATCCAGCCCACGTTCGGGGTGGCTGGTCAAACCGCTGTTCCCAAACCTGTATATTGCACCCGACACCCTGAGAAAATGTGGGAATATATATTGCATCCCCTGACCCAATAAAACCAAAACCCAATCGGAAAGGGATGCGACCCGGGGAGGCATCAGCCCTAAAATCAATGCCCTTTCCCGTGTTTAGGGTTGATCCCTCCCAAAAATGCGTCAAGGTTCCCTAGGGGGTTTTTTTTTATGCCCTGTCCTTATTGTTCCCGGTAGCGTCGTTTAGCGCCGCTAGCGCAAATGGGCTAGCTAAATGACTCTTCCGCGTGAAATATTTTGGGTCGAAACGACAAGCCAGAGCAGTAGGGAATCTGTGATTTAACACCTACAGTAAACTCTCTGTGAAAATTGAGACACGTGGCTCATTGAGAGCTCGAGTCCCTAAACTGAACGATAACTGTCCCCCCCTAGCCCAGCCTTTTGCGGAAACTGTCGCAGGAAGCGAAACCCGTTCCCTGAAAGCGGAGGGGTCGGGATACATGTCCCCGCTAAGCTGAAAACCCCATTCCATCCCACAAAATCCTACCCATCGCCCAAATCCACCGCTTACACACACAGTCACATCCGAGGCGAGAGCGGGGCTGTTGATTGGTTTGGGGGTATCCAGGCGAAACCGAAGGTCTGGGTTCGGGTTTGGTCCAAAACTTGGTTATGTACAGGACAAATATCAAACCTTCAAATCAAGACAACAGTGTAGATTTCAGAACATCATTCCTGACTCACATATGAATACAGTATATATATATATATATATTCATCAATTTTGGGCAGCATACAGTAGAATTCCCTTCACTAATAAAGCACGAATTTGATGCCTACGCTATTCTCCATGTTCCAAATGATTCCGAATCAGCTCGAAATACTCCAGGTTTCGCACATGGTCCCCTAGGCCACTAAGGATGCAATCTTACCAGCTCGCGTCGCATCTTTCGGAATTTAATTAGATTGGGTGAGGCGCGACGGTTTAGAATGGCATGCGTCACAAACCTGAACTGCGCATGTCCCACCCAGTACTTTTGTTCTAATGGCTGCCGTGAAATCCACCACCCAAATGCGTTATCTCATACGAATTCATTCTCATCACGCGCGGCTCGAAGTGTCGCGCCTCGTCCAAGCCGAAGAACAGGCAGCAGCAAACACGTGGCACTTTCAAACTAGCTCTTTGCACTCGAGACCCACCGCACCTTTTGATATTTTGCTACACCTAGAGAAATTGCTAGTCCACATTACTTCTCCTCACTTCTCTTCCCTGTCCTCCTCTTGCTCATCCACTTTCCTTTTGCTTATCTTTCCTCGGCACCACCTGCGCACACTGCTTGAGGATTAACCTCGAGTTTCCCTCATCACCTAGCAGTCATGCTGGGCTAGCAAAAGCATTGGTTGCACGTGAGATGTTTTGTTTTCAAGCGTGACGTCTTACCGCTGCTGTTGTCTTCTGTGGTCTGTTGTAGAGTGCAAAAACCCTAGATTCACGTTTCGTGAACCCTGAAGTCAGCAAGTGAGAAGGAGCCAGACACTGCCAAGGAGCCAGACATTGCCAAGGAGCCAGACACTGGCAAGGAGCCAGACACTGCCAAGGAGCCAGACGCTGCCAAGGAGCCAGCCACTGCCAAGGAGCCAGACACTGCCAAGGAGCCAGACACTGCCAAGGAGCCAGACACTGCCAAGGAGCCAGACACTGCCAAGGAGCCAGACATGGAAACCGAGCACAAGCGTAACATCAACCTCTTCGACGTCCCGCCGGAGGCGACCCGTCAGAACGCGGATGGGTCAGCGGAAGGGACGACGGCAGCAACGAGGATCAACCCGTACAACGGCCGGCCGTACACGCCGCGGTATTTCGACATTCTCGAGAAGCGGAAATCGCTGCCGGTGTGGCGGCAGAAGCAGGAATTCGTGGATCTGTTGAAGAAACAGCATATCATCGTGCTCGTGGGAGAGACGGGTAGCGGGAAGTCTATTCAGGTTAGTGATTGATTGGTTCTCGCTTTACCTTATCGTAGGATCCCCAGAATCTGCCGATTTGCATTTAAATTTCCAGCAGCTTTCGTCATGGTCGTGGAGCTTCGTGATGGGAAATCGTGACTTTTTTAGGTGCCTCAAATTCGCCTAAAAAAGAATTGCAGCAGCCTTCGTCATGGCCGCGGAGCCTGGTAATAAGAAGATCATGCTGATTGGTGGTCGCTGATGGGGCTGGTGGTTATGCTGTAATGCATGCTGAATCTCTGTTAATAGATCTTGAACTGCTTCCAAAAGGCAGGCTCCTTGCACGAGCTTGTGATGTTCCAGACTCTTGTGATGCCATTCCAGATTTGGAAAGTTGTGGTGCACACCCAAGAAGCAACAGGTGGCATGGACGCGGTTGCGGTTCTTGAGTCGTCTCCTGTCTCGCCCCTACTTACATCCCTCCCTCCTCCCCTGCAATGCCGCATCGTACCAACGTACCTTCCCAGATTCCGCAATTTATGGTGAAGTGTCTGAGCGCAGACAAGAAGCAGGTGGAGTGCACGCAGTTGGGATTGTTGAGTCATCTCAAATCCCACCCCTCCCTGTATCCCTCCCTCTTCCCGCAATTCGTGGTGGAGTGTTTGAACGCGACTCACAAGAAGCAGGTGGCGTGCACATAGCCGCGGCGGGTGGCGGCGATGTCGGTGTCGCGGCGAGTGGCAGACGAGATGGACATGACGATCGGCGAGGAGGTGGGCTACTCCATCCGATTCGAGGACTGCAGCGGGCCCAAAACCAGCCTCAAGTGAGTTGCTTTAGTGTGGGCTGGTGGTCAAGCCTCAAGTGGGTGTCTGGTTGTCGAGCCTCAAGTAAACGTGTGGTAAACAAGGTCTAGGTGAGCCGAGTTGTTGCAAAGTGCCAACTCTGTCAAGTTCATGGTTGGCTATCAATTAGGTTGGCCTCAAGGATGCCAATGCTAAGGCTGCCTATAGTGAGCGTGCTTATGGTTAGGGTAGGTTGTGCATAGAGTGGGGATGGCTTGGCATGCAGCCGCAGCCAGTGCTACCCTTCTGGAGCGTTACAAGGCGATCATTCACCTCCTTGTTTTCCCAAACCCTTACATTCCGAGCCAGGTGTCTGATCAATTGGAAGCTTTTGAGGGAGGCCATGGTGGACCCTTTCTTGGAGCGTTACAAGGCGATCATCTTCATTCTTTTCTCCCCTAACCCACTCCCGTGTCTTATGGTCCGAGCCAGGTACCTCACTGATGGTAAGCTCCTGCGAGAGGCCATGGCGGACCCTTTATTTGAGAGGTAGAAGGCGATCATCCTAGACGAGGCGCATGAGCGCACGCTGGCAACGGACGTGTTGTTTGGGCTGCTCAAGGCCGTTCACATGCATTCTGAGCACAAGCAAATGGCCACAAGGCCAGTTCACATGCAGAGTTATATCAAGGAGAACAAGCAGTATAGTGATCACAACCTAGCAAGTGTAAGCATGCAGGTATATGTATATAAATCACAGTACAAGCAAAGTCAAGAAGTGAGCAAGTGAGACCAAGTAGGCACAAGGCCTAGAACATTACAGAAACACTGATGATCACAAGGCTGAAGTGCCTTGGTGAAGATATCAGCAGTGTTGGCCCAAGAGGCCACGTAAGCAAGATGAAGCTGACCACGGTGCTGCAACTCTCGAGCAAGGAAGTAGTGCAGAGCGATCTGTGCTCCAGTCTGTGCTCCTGACACAAGGCAATCATGGCCTTGTTGTCGACGTACAGAACAGGAGGAGAACAAGGCGGCTCTCCCAAGTCGGTCAGCAGGTAGGTGAGCCAGCGTAACTCCTGTGCAGCCATGGCCCCTGCGTAGATCTCAGCCTCACAACTGGAACTGAGAACAGAAGACGAGCGGGTAGACCGCCACTCAGAGCCGGAGCCAAGGCTGAAAGTGTAACCCTGTGACGACCGCTGCGTAGCCAAGTCGTCAACCCAAGAAGCGTCTGCGTGACCAGTGAGGACAACTCGAGCCCTACCTCCAAGCACGAGCCCCATGCCCGACGTACTGCACAAGTAGCGCATCACCCTCTTAGCGGCCTCCCAGTGCTCTGGTCGGTGTCTCCCGGGCGCAACGTAGTGTGCCAGGATGCTAAGAGGGTAAGCAAGGTCAGGTCGAGTGCAGCTCATCAGGTACATGAGGCAGCCCACAAGCTCTGGATACGGGCCACTCGGCTCTACGGACTCATCCGAAGGCAGAGCTGAGAGCGAGTGACCAGTAGGCAGAGGAGTGGACTGTGGCGAGGAGTACATGAAGCGGAAGCGCTGAAGGACCTGCTGCACCATGTGTGACTGAGTCAAGGTAATGGTGCGCTGTGCTCTGTCCCGGGTGATCTGCAAGCCAAGACAACTGTGCAGCTCACCCAGGTCTGTGCACGTGTGTCTCTTCTGCAGCTCCGTCTTCACAAAGGCCAGTCCAGCAGTGTCAGCAGTGGCAAAGACCAAGCGTCGACGTACACGCGGATGTAGAACGGCGGTAGAGAAGTGTCGGTGCATAGAAACAGCGACGGGTCAGCAGTCGAAGGAGCAAACCCAAGAGCCGCAAGCGTCGTCCTCAGTGTGTTGTGCCACTCGCGAGGCGCCTGGCGGAGACCGTAGACTGGCCGCCGGAGGCTCCACCGGGTACCTGCAGGAAACGACCCAGTGAAGCCAGGTGGGCGGCGCAGCCAGGTCTCCTCGTGCAGGCTGCCCTGTAGGAAGGCTGTGCTGAAGTCAAGATAGTGAAGCTCGTAGTCACGCTGAGCGGCGACGTGCAGCAGCACCCGAAGAGTGGTCATCTTCGGGGTAGGGGAGAAGGTCTGGAAGAAGTCAACTCCCTCACGCTGACTGAAGCCTCGAGCAACATAACGCGCCTTGAAGACAGGCGGAGAACCCGGCGGCCGCTTCACCCTGAAAATCCACATGCCACTGACGATGTTCGCCCCAGGTGGGGGAACCTTGTCGACGTAGGTGCCTGTGCACTTCTAGGAAGCCATCTCTGCGTCCATGGCTGTCTGCCACTGAGAGGAGTATGGACCCTCAATCGCCCCTGCGTAAGAGCGCGGGGTCGGGATGTCTGGTGCATCCGGGTCTCCCTCAGGCGCAATCAGCATGGACACGAGATGAGGCGCAGCGGCTGCAAGACACTCAAAGTCCTCCTGCCTATCCTCAAGGACGTCCGTGCCAAGAGCACACTCACCCCCGACGGACGGAGGACAGACAGACTCAGACTCAGCAACAAGACTAGCGGCGTAGTCGAGGCGACAGGCGGCAGCAAAGTCAACAAGCTCAGCAACTAGGGCAGACGCAGCAGTGGACTCAAACGAAGGGTCAGTGACAACAGTGGCTAGAAGACGCGTGACAATAGGACTGGCAGCACGAGCAAGGTCTGACGGCGGGTCAGGAACGTCAGGAAGAGAGGATGCAGGAGGAGACGGCAGAGGTACACGCTGTGGAACAGAGGAAGGACAAAGTGCCATCAGGTGCGTGCCTGGGACAGGAGGAGGACGCGGACGCGGAACACGACGACTAGTGCGAATAGCGCGAACAGGCGACGCAGGACGAGACTCAGGCTCACGACGCTCCGCAAGACCTCCTGTCGGCCCAGTGTAAGGAGAAGGAGCAGGCAGTGGGGAGGCTGGCTGTAACTGCGACTGCGACTGGTCAGGCGGTGGACACAGTAAGGGAGGAGTAGGGCTAGTAGAAGGCGGGAGACCAAGAACCTGCTGAAGCAGTGGAACGAAGTACGGTCGCGGTCGCACAGCGCCTCCAGAACCAGCACCGACAGCACCAGTACCCCTAGCTCCAGGGTCTCAAGCTCCAACGCCTGCAGTACCACCAGCTCCAGCACCTCCAGCAGCTCCAGCTCCAGTAGCACCTCCAGCTCTAGCAGCTCCAGAACCTCCAGTACGAGTAACTCCAGGACCAGCAGCTCCAGCACCTCCGGCTCCAACTCCTGCAGCACCACCAGCTCCAGCAGCTCCAGTACGAGCACCTCCGGGACCAGCGACTCTAGCACCTCCAGCACCTCCAGGACCAGCAGCTCCAGCACCTCCGGCTCCAACGCCGGCAGCACCTCCAGCTCCAGCAGCTCCAGTACCTCCAGCTCCAGGGCCTCTGTCAGATTTATATGACATAGCTACTGTAGGCTATAGTGGGGTAGCACATATGGGGTACAATTTTCTAGGGTTTACATTTGTACCCAACTTTCCCTTAGTCAATTCATTCTCGTTCAGTTTCTCATGGTATCGAGCAGGTTCCCCTGTGGGAACTGTTCCTAGGGCCCACCACCTTTTTTTTCCTGCCCGGAGCGCGCTCTACACTGCCCGAGTCGCGCTCCCCTCTCTCGACCCTGTCGCGCCGCCTTAGCGGCCCCGTCGCGTCGCGCCTGCGGCCCCGTCGCGTCGCCCTCGCGGCCCCTGCACGTCGCGCCGCCCTAGCGGCCGCGTCGCGCCGCCCTCGCGGCCCCGATCCGCCGCCCTCGCGGCTCCTTCGTGTCGCGCCGCCTCGCGGCCCTTTCACGCCGCCCTCGCGGCCTCTTCAAGCCGCCCTCGCGACCCCCCCCTCCTAGCCGTCCTCGCGGCCCCGTCGCCTACCCCTGCGGCCCCGGCGCCGCCCTTCCCTGCCTCGGCGCCGCCTCTGCTGGCCCCGTCGCCTACCCCTGCGGCCCCGGAGCTGCCCTTCCCGGCCCCGGAGCTGCGCTTCCCGGCCCCGGCGCCACCTCTACTGGCCCCGACGCCGCTCCACCCGGCCCCGACCCCGATCCACCAGAGCCACCCGAGCCGCCGCGCCACCTGAGCCGCCCGAGCCGCCGGGTCGCCGAGCCGCCGAGCTGCAGTTGCTGCCGAGCCGCCGTACCGCCGAGCCGCCCGAGCCGCCGAGTCGCCGAGCCGCAGTTGCTGCCGAGCCGCCGTACCGCCGAGCCGCCCGAGCCGCCCGAGCCGCCGAGTTGCCGACCCGCCGAGCCGCTCGAGCCGCCCTGTCCGGTAAGAGCAGCCCCTCTGTCACTGCACTGCCCTTACCCTACTGTTCGCGCTGCTAGTCTACTGCTATCATGGCTACCCCTAGTGTCCTCGCTTTTGACGCTGAGGGTCGGGCCATTGACTTTGACGTCTGGGTAGATGACCTGCAGCTTTTCCTACAGTGCGATAGGGCAGACGGTCTCTCCCTCTTTGACCTCACCTCTGGTGCCTCTCCTGCCCCTGCTGCTGATGCCGACGCCACTGTTCGCTCACAGTGGGCCACACGCGATGCTGCTGCACGTCTTGCTGTGCGTCGCCACCTGCCTACCTCTGAGCGTGCGCACTTTAGCCAGTACAAGAGTGCTCACACCTTGTACGACGCTGTAGTTGCGCGCTACTCCTCCCCTGCCACTGCTGCACTGAGCCGCCTCATGCTACCGTACCTCTTCCCTGACCTTGCTGCCTTTCCCACAGTCGCTGACCTCATTACGCACCTCCGCACTAGTGACACTTGCTACCGCGCTGCGCTTCCTGCTGAGTTCTGCGCCAAGAACCCCCCCCCCATGTACATCACCCTCTACTACATAGTCACCCGGCTCCCTGACTCCCTTCGCGTAGTCAGGGACCACTTCCTCTCAGTTTGCCCCACCACTCTCACCGTTGACCTCCTCGAGAAGGCCCTCCTAGCAGC